GGGGAGAGAGAGGAGGAGAGGGGGAGGGGGGGGAGAGAGAGAGGGATAAGTCACAGCCAATCCCTGAACCTGAGGGCAGACACTGAAATCCCATTTCACAGACCATTTTGGAGAGAATGTGCTGCGAAGTGAACGTTTGGCAAAACAACGACGACGACAACGACGACGACGACAATAAATGATGATAATAACCATCAACAATAATAAACAATAACATTCCCGGAGACCGTTGACACCACAGCGGCGCCTCTCATCGTGTCTTCGAGACGCCTCAGTAGCGCTGCTCCGGGATCCACCGTAAAGGGAGTTAATCGACTGCATTTTAAGATTATATTTAAAATGCGTAATATTTCCTTTAATCATTTCTGGGCAGTTTTTTTTATCCTCTCCGGGGGACGAAACGCCAGAGTGCATTGTTTTGGACCCTCTCTGCCCGACAACAACAACAACAGAATGACATTCACGGAGCGCCTTTCACGTCGGGAGGACGTCCCAAGGAGCTGGACAGTCTGATGTCGGGGCCGGAGCTTGGGGGAGGGGTGGTGTAGGGATGACGGTGATGGAGAGAGGTGGGAGGGAGACCTAAGGCACGGTCGAAGAGAAGGGTCTTGAGGCCGGCCTTGAAGGAGGCGAGGGAGGAAGCGAGGCGAAGGGACCGTGGGATGGAGTTTGAGTGTGGGGGCAAAGAGGCTGAAAGCCCGGCCACTGATGGTAGGGCGGGAGACATGGAGCAGCCGGAGCCCGCTGAACGGAGGGAGTGGGCAGGTTGGTAGGGAATCAGCAGGTCAGAGAGGTAGGAGGGGGCAAGGCCATCAATGGCCTTAAAGGTGAGGACGAGGATCTTGAACTCAATCCTCTGGGGGATGGGGAGCCAGTGGAGTCGGGTGAGGGTGGGAGTGATGGGGTCACAGAGCCTGGTACGTGAGAGTACACGAGCTGCAGAGTTCTGGATGATCTGCAGCTTGTGAAGGGAAGAGTTGGGAAGGCCGATGAGAAGGGAGTTCCCGTAATCGAGCCTCGAGGTGACGAATGCGTGGGTGAGGGAAGGGCAGTCTGAGGGGTGAGGCAGTGGCGGAGGCTGACGTTTGAGAAAGAGCGATGTCAAAACTCGGTTCCTCTATTTTTTTTCTGGTGTTAAATCTTCCTTTTTCCGGCCACTTCGGTTGTGAAATTGCACAGAAAAATACTCCCCCGCCCCCCCCCCACCCCCCCACTGTAAGTCTTCAACGTTCTGCCAGTCAGTTCAGATCCGCACGGGCTCCCCCTCTCCCTCTCTCTCTCTTCCCCCACCTTTCCCGAGATTGCCCCCCCTTTAACCCCAGCCCCCTCTCCCCTCCCCTCCAAAAAAAGTAAGACGTGAAATTTTCTGCCTTATAATAATAATCGTCCTTGCGTTTCACGTCAGGAGAATGTCGCGACGTTCCTCGTCTACTGTAAAGTGTAGTGACTGTGTTTTGCAGATGAACGTGGCTGTCAATTTGCATTCAGCGACGCCCCATAAACAGCCATCAAGTAAATGACCAGTTTTATTTCGGAGAGGGGTGTGGGGGGGGGGGCGTGTGTGTGTGGGGGGTGGGTGTAGGTGGGGTGGGTGGGGGGCGAGATTGTCAGCCAGGAGCAGCGCTCTCCCCCAGTTGGTTTGCCGCGTTTTGCCCACAAAACAGTCACTCCACTTTACAGTGTGTCCCGCGAAGCGCTTTGAGACGTCTGGACGACTCGATAAGGCGCTGTATCGAGTGCAAGTGCGGTATATATTGTTGTATTAATATTAATGAAGTTCACAAAGGGTTAAGGGCAGATTCCAATCCCTTCTGCCCCTCCCTCGCATTTTTTCCCCCCTGAATAGGAATCAGTAACTTTCTCCCCCCCCCCACCCCCCCCCCCCCCATTCATTTTACTCGGGGCCGGACATCTGGTCCTGGGATAAGAGACATCTGCCTTTGCAGAGTGACCTTCTGCTACGTACGTTCAGCTCCCAGCCCTCGCCTCGGCTCGTCTTGATCTAAAGACCTTCCCACCTGCTGGAGCTCAGGTCCTCATTGACCCGATCGCCCTGGCACTCGCCAGGCTCACAACCGTTGCCCCAGGCTCCCGTCTGGCCTCACAGGGAAAGAGCGAGAGGGTGGAGAGACAACAGGCAGCAACGCTGGGGGTTGGGGGTTAGGGGGTGAGTGGGTGGTGGGGGGTTTTTTCTCTCTCTCTCTCGCGTTCCCTGAAAATTCCACCTCGAAACCGACCGTTTTCTGTCCCTGTGTCTGCCTGTTATTGCTGAAGTCGTAATGAAATCGGTCGCTCGTTCCGATTCGCTGTCTGCGGGCGCAACGGCGCCGTGCACGACCGGCTGCTTCTGCCGCGCCTCTCCCGCGCAACACACAGTCACTACACTTTTACGGTCTGTTCTGCGAAGCGTTTTGAGACGTCTCGGCGACGTGATAAGGCGCTGGATCCAATTGCAAGGGCTGATTATCATTGTTGTTATTATTATAGGCTCTTGAAGCCACAGGGGGATGGGTTTGCACACCAGACAGACACCTGGTCGAACCACACTCACAAAAAAAAATGAAAACTGCTGTAAATAAAAGTCTGCATATGGCATCATCATTTTATAACCCCTATAAATAAAGGATATCAGTGTTTTACCGGATGCAAGTGGTTAGGGAACTCAGGGAAGACACAGAGCTCTGTGTGACAGAAGTACACCATCTCCGGGATGAGCTAAATATTGATCTTGAAGGATGCCCCCCCCTCCCTTCCCCACCCCCCCACTGGGTTGCCACCTGCTCCCTCCCCAAACAGCAACACAGCACGAGCCGTGTCACAGATGTTCACTAACAATAATAGTTTAACACCCACTTACAGGGGGCTATTTATTACCTAAAGGCACGGCTAAAGTAAACCCATTAACAAAGTTTACCTACTGATGCCTGGACCGCGAATCTATCACGAGGGCTGGTGTGGGGGGTGACAGGGCTGGTGTGGGGGGTGACAGAGCTGGTGTGGGGGGGTGAGGGCTGGTGTGGGGGTGACAGGGCTGGTGTGGGGGGGTGAGAGGGCTGGTGTGGGGGGGTGAGAGGGAAGGCGTGGGAGATGAGAGGGCAGGCGTGCGGGGTGAGAGAGCTGGTGTGGGGGGTGAGAGAGCTGGTGTGGGGGGTGACAGGGCTGGTGTGGGGGTGAGAGAGCTGGTGTGGGGGTGAGAGAGCTGGTGTGGGGGTGAGAGGGCTGGTGTGGGGGTGAGAGAGCTGGTGTGGGGGGTGAGAGGGCTGGTGTGGGGGGTGAGAGGGCAGGTGTGGGGGTGACAGGGCTGGTGTGGGGGGTGAGAGGGCAGGTGTGGGGGTGACAGGGCTGGTGTGGGGGGTGACAGAGCTGGTGTGGGGGGTGACAGAGCTGGCGTGGGGTGTGAGAGGGCTGGTGTGGGGGGTGAGAGGGCAGGTGTGGGGGGTGAGAGGGCTGGTGTGGGGGTGAGAGAGCTGGTGTGGGGTTAGAGAGCTGGTTTGGGGGGGTGAGAGGGCTGGTGTGGGGGTGACAGGGCTGGTGTGGGGGTGACAGGGCTGGTGTGGGGGGTGAGGGCTGGTGTGGGGGTGACAGGGCTGGTATGGGGGGTGACAGGGCTGGTGTGGGGGGTGAGAGGGCTGGTGTGGGGGGGTGAGGGCTGGTGTGGGGGGTGACAGGGCTGGTGTGGGGGGTGAGAGGGCTGGTGTGGGGGGGTGAGGGCTGGGGTGGGGGTGACAGGGCTGGTGTGGGGGGTGAGAGGGCAGGCGTGGTGGCGAGAGGGCTGAGTGACAAGAGTTTACCAGGCAATTAGCAGCGATAAAATACTCCACAGAAGCTGACACACCTCACCGTGCTGTGCCTCGCCTTATGACTGACTTATTAGAAAAAAGAAGGGAGTTTCTCTCCCTCCCCCAAGCAGGTGTCCTGTCTGACAATCCCCCCCTCAACCCCCCACACCCCCATATGAACTCGGTCGCTCACTTATTTCATGGCTGTTGGCAGGGCTGTCGCTGTGTGCAAATTGTCTGCTCCGTTCGCCCACCAAACACACAGTCATTCCATTTCACAGTAAATCCTGTGAAGGGCTTTGAAACATCGTCCCGATGTGAAAGGCGCTGGATTAAATGTTTAGCAACGTCCCTTAAGTAGCCATGAAGTGAGAGACCAATTTTATTTGAGGGGGAGAGAGGGGGGGGATTGTTGGGGAGTTCACTGGGAGCAAAGGAGGCAGCGAGGGATGTGCAGAAGAAATGACAGAAAGAGAGCGAGACTGACCGCAGATAATAATAATAATATAGCAATATATTCATCTTTACATTTGACACAGCGCCTTATCACGTCTTCGAGACGTCTCAAAGCGCTTCACAGGATATAATGTAAAGTGGAGTGACTGTGTATTTTGTGGGTGAAACGTGGCAGCCAATTGCCCACGGCAGCGTCCCACAAACAGCCATGGAGTCAGTGACCTATTTTATTTAGTGGATTATTGGTCCGGGACACTGGGAGAGAGAAACTCTCTTGAATAGAAACCCTTTTTGAATAGAATCGCAGGATCTTTAACGTCCACCTGAATAGGCTGAAAAGGACATCAGTTTAAAATCTCATCCGCAGGATCATTTTCCCCCATTGCAAGTTCACTGAATTCCCCCCACCCCAAAAAAAAGCTTTTATATTTTTGAGTCCAGTTTTCACCGCTCCTTAGACCAGTCCCTGATTCGGCTGCCCGGGCTCTTGCCCCTCCCTCTCCCCCCCTCCTCCTTCCCCTCATCCTCCTCTCACCCTCTCCCCTCCCCAATTCACTGTGGGCTTGAGTTATTGATTCAGACGGCACACAGCACACTACCAGAGATTCAATCACTACAGAAAGGAAGGAGGGCCTTCCCCTTCGACCGTGCTTACGGTCACCTCCCCTCTCCCCCGGCTCAGTTAGGCTCTGCCACTGTCAAGCGCTCTGGCATCCTATCCTGTGTGAGTGGCGCTGTGTAAAGGCAAGTTGTTGTTGAAGCTACTTTACCCGGAGCCACCATGATCTCGTTTTTCTTGGAGCGGATCCTGAGGAACGTCATATCATTTTGCGGATCTAGATCCCGGATGGTGTTTCTGGCTTTCGTGGCAAACTGATGGATCAGCCCCGCGTACTGAACAGTGGTCGAACTGTCCATGGTCGTCCGGATGGGAATTCCTTGGGAAGGAGAGGGAGAGCCATTTCCAATGAGTTAGGATACAGTATTAACGATCCTTGCCTCCGAACAGCATCTATAACACCAAACTGCCTCAAAAGTCGTCACCAGTAATTGCTGTAAAACGTTGTGACTTATGATTTATTCACAGCAATAATGTACAACCGTGGAGTGAGTGACTGACCAATTTTATCTGGGGAATTGTTGGTCAGGACATCGGGAGAGAGAAACCTCCCCATCTCTTTTCAAAGAGAGTCAACAAAGTACACAGTCAATTCACTGTCCAGTATATTCTGTGAAGCGCTGAAACGAAAAGCAAACCTTCACAGCAACCACAGCCAAACAGGAAGAGAACTTGCACAGTCACTTGACTTCTCTAAACACTGCAGCCAGGAGATATTTTAATTAAATTGCACGACGATTGTAATAAAAATGCAACTACACATAATTTACATATCGTTTCGCCCACACAATACAGTCACAGAGAAGGGAGTTTCTCCCAGTGTCCTAGCCAACAAAAATTGGTCACGCACGCATGGCTGTTTGTGGATCTCTGCTATACGTAACTGGCTGCCGCCTTTTGACCACAAAATACACAGTCACTCCACTTTACACTATATTCTGCGAAGCGCTTTCGACGGCTCAACATCGTGATTAAGGCGTTATATCAAATGCAAGGATTATTATTAATACTAATATTATTCAGACAGCGCTTTTCATGAGGGGAGGACGTCTCAAAGCGCTCGACAAAGAAATGAAATCCATCTGTACCCTCCGCATTGATGACAATAATTCCCGCGACTCCCTTCTGAGTCTGAATTCTCTTCAGGGTTTCTTCAACTTCGGCCTGGCAACAGGAGACAAACGGAGCGGTTAGCGCTGGGTGCCACTGTCAGGGCGCAACCCTCCCCTCCCCTCTCGCCCCCTCGGATGCGGTAAGTATTTTAGATGCTGGGTTGCCAACGGCCAAGGGTTTGCGCGGGTGGTGTCGCTGCTGTTGATGCTTAACGAGCTGAAACCACACAGCTTCCCACCGCGACCACCAACTTGGCGAGCTTCCTGCTGCTTGTCCAGCTGGCACAGCCCTGCCCTGCCCGCCCTGCCCTCCCTGCCCATGGGGGCGGGGGCTGTTTAGCCCAGTTCAGGCTTATTGCAAGATAATGCAATTCACAGAAACACAGACACACTCCCTGCACAGCCCGGGCCAAAGCCATTCACAAAGCAGCAGAGCTGATCCCCCCCCACACACCCACACACACACACACCCACACAGGTCGCACCATCTCCAAGGACTGTCACCAGCAGCTGCCGCAACACTGCCAGAGCTTATACGCACAGCGCGCATGCGCGGCACTCCCCACCCAGCTGGCGATGACCTCACCCCCCCCCTTCCGATACACACCCACAACCCACCAATCAGCGGCTCCCAAACAGCCGGTGACGTCACCCACATTCCCACACTCAGGTCATTGACAAAAAAAGGGCAGCCTGCTAGCAGGTTAGGTTGGGGAGGGCGGGGGGCGCAATCAAGGTAGGCTGACCCGGCACAGCTGGAGGCACAGGACCATCCCATTGCTTTGGTGGTTAATTGGAAGGAATCACCTCAACCATCTCAGGATTGAAAAGAATCAATGTTTTGCCCACAAAATACGCAGTCAATCCACAGGATTTGTCATATAGTCCTGTGAAACACTTGGGAGACCCTCTCATCGACCTGATAATGCGCTATATCAAATGCAAGGATTAGTGTGTGTGTATATATATATAATAAAGAAAAATAGTTGTCTTTTACGTCTTCATAAAGAGGTACTTTATAATAAGCACATTTGATACACTGCTTCATCACGCGGTCAGTCTCCCACTGCATCATAGGACTTTACTCTCAAGTGTAGTGACTGTATTTTCTAGGCAAACCAGCAGCCAACTTGCACAAAATTCACACACACCCAGCAATATGATGTCTGTACAGTTAAGAGCAATTTTTATTTTTTTTTACAGTTAAACTTTTTTTACACACAGGTAAACGGGATAAGAAGCATTCACCGAGAGGCTAAATTAACTTTATTAGCCTTCATCCATTTCTCAAAAGATTGAGTCAGGCTTTACTTAAAAAAAAGAAACACAGAAATATTAACATGATTTACAAACCTCAGTTATCATACAAGTCAAAATTAGACACTTGATATAGGCTTAAAGTCAAAGAAACAATTACATAAATGTCTAAATTATGCAGCTCTTTCAGAAGTGCCATCTATTAGACTTCTATTACAGAACTTGTAAATACTCAATTTTTTAAAAATCTCCAAAAAATCAAAGTATGATGTCAGTGCTATTTATTTATGCATCACAGGGTTGGCTTGGATGGTGGGTATGAGTGAAAGAATCCTAGACTGATGATAGATATCCAATGGATTTTTGAGTATTTGAGGCAAATTTAACACTTCAGGAAATCTCCCCCCACTCCAAAAAAATATTTAAATACACAAAAGGAAGGATTTCAATATATATTTTATTGGGTTAAGGTGGGACAGCATTGACTGCACCATATAGAGGTAGGATACTATGCATGTGCCTGTGAAGGGGAGAAAAATAGAAAGGGAAAATAGTTTATAAACTTTTTTTTTAAGATGGGCAATGTTTTCAAACTCTTATTGTGCCTCTGTGTGTGTTTTTCTTGTATTTAAAATATTTAATGTGGATTTAACAACTTACATTTAATGTAATTATAAAGCTATTTAAAAAAAAACAATATCCATAAAATTTGCAGTGTTTAGGGTTCCACTGTGTGTGTGTGTGTGTGGTTGGGGGGGGGGGGAAGGGGGCAAAGGGTGGCCAAGGTATAAAAGATGGATGGCATCAGAAATATATTCCAGTTGATTTCTGATGGTCAATTCTGAACATTTGTGGTTAGGATCAGAAACCAGCAGGGTTCAACTCAAGAGTTGACAAAACCTGGTGCACAAACACCTGCTGAAGAGTTTGCTAAACAATAAATCCAATTCACCAGGAGAGGTTTGCTTCACTTTGATGTTTTAAGCAAAATAGTTACGTGAAGAACGCAAACACACACACACACACAAAAACAGCTTCATATCTTCCCCACACCCTTTGGAAAGATACCCAACGCAAATTCACAAGTTTTTAAAGAAAAAAGAACCCAATGTATATAAACTCTACATCCATTGGATACCCAAACACGTCTCATCTCCCCATCATGTCTACCCAATGGGTCTCCGTACCACAATCAGATGTCAAAAGCACTGTGCGGATAGGATGGAAAGCTGGGTTGTGTTCACAGTGGGTAAGGTAATAACACACAATTCCATACAACATGCAGTCACTGTTGCTCCAACTTCCAGTTAATTTCTGAATAAAGGCAGCACCTATTCAGCCATAATAGTGTTCCTCCTTCAGTGGTGTGGTATTTACTGTAAAGTCCCCTGCCACTGTTATGTAACTTACTGTCCTTTTTTTGTTTTGCCCACAAAACCAATCCAATTTACAATATATTCTGTGAAGCGCTTTTGAGATTTTTCAATGATGTGATAAGGCGCTGTATCAAATGCAAGGATTATTATTATTTTGGGGTAGGTAGGGGGGATAAAGAAAGTATAAAGGAAGTTAAAGTCACAGGAGTGTGTGATACACACCTGCAGTTTGAGCAAGTTCAACCAGACTAGAAGGGGGGGGGGGGGTAAGAAATCCAGTTCACATTAGGATGCCTACTCTTCCCTCCAAGGCTATTAGTTTTGAGCCCCAAAGAGAGGAGTTTTGAGTTACTCAGTTACAACAGCAAGGATTTTGAATTCAGCTATAGGCTGAAAAATGGACAGGTTATCACACATGTACAACAGGGTCACTCCATTTTGGACGAGAGAAAAAGATCCAATTAGTCAACCAGAAAGGCTGGTATTACGGTATGGAATAATCCCAGACCCACACTGATGTTTTGGGGTAGAGTACATTTGCACAACCCACTGAAGAAACAGGAACACTTTTTTTTCTTTTTCTGCAACTTTGTAGATTGGTGGCTATATAACACACCAGCAATGCTGCACAGCAGAGCAATCGTAATTCAGAAACCAATGCAATTGTTTGCCCATTTATTCACATTTAGTGGGAGTTAATATATTATACTTTATATTACGCTATACATTAGAATTCCAGCCACTGGGGTGAACTGAACACTACATAATTCGCAAAACAATATTCAGGGCAGAGAGAATGAGAACCAGGTTTGAACAGCAAGATAACTAAGGGGAGGTACATATGCCTCTATGGTGTGTCAAAATACTGGACTCAAACCCAGCCCTACTTTTTAATCCGAGTTTCAGAGGAACAGATTTTGGGGCAGGGGGTGGGGGGGTGGAGGAATAGAGAAACTAAGCCATTCCTGAAGCCAGATTCGGTCTTGGTTTGTGTAAGCACCCCTCCCCCCCTCCCGAGACTTGATTACAAGTCAGGGTTGTTTTTCCACTCTTTCGCCCCCTCCGCCAGTATGTTCTTCTGCTGGGGGTTGAATTCCATGGATCCTGGCAATTATTTGGTACCTCGCCCAAATGTCAGCTCTTCATGAGTGATAGCGAGACCAGCCAGATTATTAGGTTATTTTATCATTAGAGCATTGCAGGTCAGACCGATCCTGTCCCGACCCAATATTCACACCCATACATACTTTCCCAGAGGGTTAGTGGATTGTAGTCAGGAGCAGGATGACTGTTTGAGATTTTCTGTTCCCGAGGCCAAGGTGTACAGAGGCTAATCGTCAGACCATTTCCACATCGCCTGCTGAAACCAGCATAAAAGACTGACGCTAGGACCTAGCTGGTCTCTACGGCTCAGGTGGAAAGGTGCGTGCTTTTACACTCAGTTACGGGATAGCAGTGAATCAGAGGTAAAGCCTGACATTCATATTGAAGACGTAACAATTTCTAACAGGATTTTAAAATTCATCAAGACTACCAGATTTATCAACAAACGAAAAAATAATCTATCTACATTCGATACTGTACATTTTTATGATACAATCAAGAGAAATCCTGAAAATTACATTAAAAACCCTAATTTGAGAATGAATTTTGATCTCCTGAACTGAAGCTTCACATGTCGAATTCAAGACACAAGCAGGACCTAAAACTCAAGCCAGACAGATTACAAACGGCCATTTCATTTCTGAACTAATTTACAGAGTGTTGTAAAGTACATACACTTACAGTAAATCCACCCACCCACACACATACACTACCCAGTTCTGATTTATTATGGCTGAATACATAGGCTTCCATTTGAAAAACATTTAATTTCAATTAATTGAAAAATAAAAGCCAACTCCATCCAAATTATAATCGCAGTCAATAAGGAACCACAGTCTCAGAAAATGAGATTCAGATTTCTCCTAGCAATTTGCTAAAATAATGGGAAAATGAAATGTTACTACTCCATGCAATTCCAACCACAAATTTTCTTTCCTCAAAGGAAGTAGCTCATCCCAGGCTACTCTTTGGGTCACGTCTCTATCTACCCTTAAGAGTGAGTGTAAACATAAATCCAACTCACAAGTTAATCCCTTTGCCCCCTTAAAATGAATTGAAATACATTCCTTAAAATTCATTGCCTTAGGGAGCGGGGCAGGAATGGGGGTGGGTCGGGGGGGAGAGAACGGAAACATAATTAAAGATGGAGTGTTTTTTTTCTTCCTTTTAAAAAAAGCACAATCATATCAAAAAGGACAAACAGTGGTTTTGAGACAGTTTTCCAGTGTTGAAAGGGTAAACCCACCTGAGCAGAAAAGGCAAACATTACGTGCATTTTACAAAGACCAAGCTAAAACTCACACGTACACAAGCACCAAAACTTCCTAGAACACCTTCCGCAGAACATTTAGTTGGGTCCGTACAGCAAAAGACTGACTTCATTTCCAGTCCCCTCCGACCACTAACAAGTAAACGAGCAGGACGTAGTCAATGAATGTGTGCGCTGAGCTGGATGGGCTAAATTGCAAAGCCAGTGGCACATTAACATTCCACTTTCAAAAAGGTTCAAACCAATCTAGGCAAGTCGGTGTTAAATCAATAATTACAGTGTGGCCATAAATGAAGAAATATTCGATCAGGAAAAAAATTATTTGGTTGGCTGACCATCACTGTTCTATTGTATACAGGATGTGCAGAGCATAGCTCTCATCTCTTGCCCCAAAACTGCTTGGTAAGATTTGCACAATGCAAATTAAGACAATTGATCGTGTCTGGATAAGCTGTGTTGCCTTTATGTATTTTGCTCAAACAAAAACCTGTCAGCCTTAAGTGTTTGAAGTAACTCCCTTTTGCACTCGTTCCAGGTTGCTCCAGGTGGCGACGGCTGCAAGTTTGCATCAGCTGATCTGCCAGGACAGCTGCAGGAGGGATGCTGCAATTGACCCCAGTCTCCCTGGGTTAGCGAGGGGATGATCAGCCAGGGTTTCTGCTCCCGAGAGTTGTCTACATTACTCCTCAACCGCACCAAGCCAGAATAAGAAGCACAAAGGCTCCACTGGAATTTGTAAAGCAATAGCGCAAAAATTAGTTCAAGTGTGGAGGTCAGGAGACATCAGGATTGGGCTCAGCTGATACCTGCAGCTGTCAGATTCCTCCATGAAATATAGGGCAATGAGTGGTGGAGGGGGCTTGACCTTCAGAGAACGCACCCCAATAGAATGAAAGGAATTGGACGCTTTCAAAGAAGCGTGAGGTGTGAAATTGGAAAAAGTGTTTCATAAAGATCATTTAACCTCAAACTAGTGACTCTGTTCACACACACACGCCCTTTAAAGAAGTGATGAGATCTTCTTCAATTCCAAATAAATTAATTTATAAAAGCCTAATTTATAAAATGTCCACATTTTGTCTTAAGAACCCTATTGCAAACACACGTCTAAGTGAGGATGGAGCGTTCAAGCTAAAACCCAGGTGAGGGCCAGCCACTAAGATGTTCTGAAAAGAAGTTATTCAGGAAGTTTCAATGGCAAGAAAGACATACGAGCTAAAGACATTGAACGTCAGAAACCTCTAACTGGAGACATATTTATTATACAGCAGCCCTTCCTGAATCAGAGGTGTCAGTCAGCGCAACAGACCACAAAAATATTTGCCAACCACGCTCTATAAAACTAGAGCAATGATTGATCTACTTTTGTCATTCTTTTTAAAAATATAGGGCCAAAGCCTTTCTTTTCTAACTAACCTTTTTACAGCGATTGGGTGGGGAGGAGGCGGAAGTATGCAGAGGGAGAGTGACGTATCTCTGAGATAGCAGGGTTCAACTACAACCGGAGCAAAATAACTTGCATTGAGGGATGACACTCCCCCTCGTCATCCATTCAGTAGAAGTGCAGGAATCCAAGTTATTAAGAGTAGACAACTGTTCACCAAGCAGCGCTCCTTCAAAATTTAAGCGACGCTGTAAGAAGGGAGCTCACTATTTTAGCTCACCCTTTGACCTTAATCAAATCATGCGTTTTTTTAAAAAATCACAGGAAAGGAATTACCTAAGGGTAAAGAATATAAATATAAATACACCTTTCCTCTGGGGGAGTGGGGGTCAGGTGGAGGGAAAGGCAGTAGCTGTAATGGCTATAGAAGAGGGGATGTGATACAAACGAGAATGAAAGTGAGAGAGAGAAAAATTGAAGGATTGAGATGGCAGCGATCTTCCTGGCAAAGCTGTTGATTACCTCATGCTCCTAGTTAGTGGTGGGTCAAATGCTCCAGCTTGACTTGTGGGTCAATTTTAAAATGCCACTAATTACAACCCCCTCCTCTGCTCTCTTTCCCTCCCTCATCCCCCACACACTCTTCTTACTCTTAAAATTACTGTCAGCAGTAAGTGGGATCAGCTTGGCTGCTCTTCCATGTACTACACAAACGAACACAGTTGATACTGTTTATCACAGCGCATTAATTCTATTATAAGCGGGTACAATTTTCCTCAATAGATTAGATTCCTCAGCTTGTAAGTACAGACAAAGCCAAGACAAAGCTTTCAGCCATTGCCCACAGGGATTCCCGGCAATGTCCCAACACGGCTGGAAAAACAGATGTCTACTGCAAAGAAAGGCAGGAGAAACAAATCCATCCATCCTGCGCTTATAAGAATCCCCCGATAGACAAGCAGTACAATACTCTCGTGGCCACTGCTATTATGTACAGTGGCTACTCCTGTCCAAACCCTTCTGTTTCTTCAATTGCAAACAGCAACTTTTCCTTCAATTGCTCGTAACTTTTGTACGGTGGCAGGTCCAAGCGATTAAAACTAGAGAGAGAGGAATGAGAGAGAATAAGATAGGATGACTTATTATAATAATCCTTGCATTTGACAGAGCGCCTAATCGCGTTGTGACCTCTCAGAATATTGTGACCTGCAGAATATACTGATTGACTGCATATTTTGTGAGCAAAACTCGCACCCAATACATGCAGTTAAATTCCATATTTAACTTACTGAAAGAATAAGAATTCCGTAAGATGACGCTAAATGTCCCACCCAAGCCTTGTAGCCCCCCCCACCCCACTGATTATATAACAGCTAGATCTTGTCTTCAGAGAATGCACTCTTTCCCTCCCCAGCTATAACCCAAGTTATCCCGTAGCCTCTTCACCCAATAGGTTGGCAGTGAAGGCTGTAAAGACTAAGGTCTGGCTGTCAGCCCAGCTCCCAGCGAGTGCAGCAGTAACTCAGGACAACATGACAAGCTCACTGGGCAAGCCCCAAGGGCAGCTGGTGAGCAGAGTAGAACATTCACAATGAAAAACCAGTTATCTCCTAAAGATTGCACAGGATGAGTTATTCTCTTGCATTTGGCCAAAGTATCTGACATGGGACTGCTCGGTGCCAACACCGGAATCAAATGAAAGAAGGGGCTCTATTCTGGAATGACGACCATCCCTCACTTGGTTGAGGACTAGATCGGAGCATCGGAAGAACAGGCATTTAAGCCGTTTCTTTAGCCGTTGGCTAGGGTGGATACTCACCAAGTATGGCTTCTGGGTAACCAGTTTTCCTTCCCCACCTTTTCAACACAGAATTTCTGAGCGCCGTTGCTCCCTAGTTCAGGAAAACAAATTCAGAGTCGTTACTTTTCACTCTCGGCAATACACTTGGACATTAACAGACGATTACCGAATCACAACCAAGCCACATTCACTTCTCACCCCAACAATTACACTTGCAACAGCAATTACTGGAGAGCGATCACAAGCTGATTTCTAGTTAGCACAGAGACCAATTATAGTGCAGAACAGAGATCGATCGTGGGACATTCTGGCTCTGAATGGCTTGTTACCCTGGCAGCGCTGCGCAACTAAGCCATCTGGGGACACAGCTGCCATCTATAGTTAACAGATCTGCAGCTCATGCTTATTGCTGGGGTGGTGGGGGGGGCGCAGTGAAGTGAAAAGCAAAAGGCATAGGAGAGAACAAAACAAATCACTTGCACATTTCTTCATCCGTCTAAAGAGAAGCCCCGTTAACACGCTGGCTTGTTGGTTGCCATAAAATTCCAACAACAATAAACAACAAGTTACTGTGCCTTTCACGTCGGGAGGGTGTCCCGAGGAACTGGACAGATGGTGGGGAGATGTTAGCTGAAGCTAAAATTTCACGATCACGTAAGGTGCTCTAAGGGAACCAGGAATCAGTGCTGCACCATCAATTTGGGAAACAACATCGCTTACCCATGAGATCAGCAAAACCACCGACAGGCAGGCGGCAGGTCCCTGTGACAAACTGGAGCAAACGCAATCGTTTCTCGTTGTCCATCTCTTTTACAACCTAACAGAGCAGAGGTAGAGGTTATTGCAAACACAACGTGCAATAATCACACACAACCTTAATTCTCTTTAGATTCACTTGACATTCAGATGGATGTTAAAGATCCCTTTGTACAATTTGATAAGAGAATGGAGGGGTGGGGGGTTGTCCCAGTGTCCTGGGCAACACTCACCCCAAGATAAAATTGGTGATTCACAAGAATGGCTTGGATGAAGCACTTCAGCCTATTTGATCTCATCCTTCCAATATCCCGACCTGACCAACTCCCCAACCTATATAAAGCACCTATTTTGTTGTAAAACACACTTTCTGGATGGGGTGGGGGGGGCTAAGAGAAAAAAGCAAGTCAACATATAGCATTGAGGACTAAGACCATCAGGCTGATTTTGCCCCCTCCATAGCAGAAAGCTTGAAGGAAATCTCCTGGGGAAAAGCACACATGCTGAGGATCTTAAGCAGCAGGGCCATTATAAACAAGGAAATTACACTCCTGTAGTAAAAAGTGCTTTAGTACATGATACTCTAGGCAATTGCTATTGTGTCTTTCATCTCAAAACTCTCATGAGCAATCATAGATAATTGCTGTCAAGGGGAGAGACTGTGTAGTTGGGAGCAGAAGCCAGCAGTCACACAAGCAAGGTCCACACAGAACCATGAAGTAAGAAAGCAGAAGTGATGCCAGAGTATCAATTTGTCTGGATGATTTATGTCAGCCAGCACCCGAAGCAGCTCTTCAAATCGTGCCATAGGATCTTTAATGCTCTGAACAGATAGATGGGTTAACATCTCATTCAGAAAACTCCACAGGCAATGTAAAACTCTTCATGCACTGCATGTTGAAACATTTTCAAGCCTTACCTGCCAGAACCAGATTATCTGTTTGCTGTTCCTGTTGTAGTTACGGTAGATTGCGTTTCTCTGCCAGTCGTTCAGGTCGATTTCTTGCATTCCACAAAGCAGCACCTGTGGAGAAAAACAATAGATATGATAGGACAGCATGGCTATTGGAAGTTACTCGTTGGCGCTGAGGTGAGAGAGCGAGGAACCAGCAGAATGTAGAAGGCCACGGCACCTGGGAAGTGATTAACTTTTAATACGTTTGAACAGTGACCTGTCTGTACATGTACAACTAACCCAGGTACAGCATTAGCACACTTCTTGACCGCAATAGCTCAGCAGTACAGGAACATGCTCCCCAGCTCACCCCACCAATAGATTAAGCAAATAAGATGTGGGAACTCACGTCATTTTGGTCACCTCGCAAAATGATGGCAAAGGTCTAGGTATTTATCTCAACAACAACATTTGTATTTATTCTCCTTTGCTATAACAAAGCAAAAGTAGCTGCCACTCCCTCCGGCCAGGCATAGAAAATATCAAAATAGTACAAAGGAAAGTTGAGTCACAGACTATCTTAGCATCTAACAGCTCAATACCTCCAATTCTTTAGCATCAAATGACTGAAGATAATGTAAGGGAAGCACTTCATTGAATCCCTCCAGGAAGGCCTGTGTCTGCTCCTCAACCCCGCGTGATAGTCTCCACTCAGCTACAAGCCTGGAGGGTGAGAAGCACAGTTTAACGGCGTAATCCATACACTGCTCTTTCACAGCAAATTCAAACAGCAAAAACACACCAAACAAAATCACTGTATGATATCGACGGGACTGAGACTTGGGTTAGGTCAGCAAATGCTTTCGTTTGCAGAGTTTAGCAATTCCTCCCTTCCCTAGTGAAGGGATTTAAAGGTGATGATAAATTCAGGTATGAAGTATTCACTTAGACACAGTATTGTTGCACCCACAGAAAAACAGTTAAGCCACTTTACAATATATCCCATGAAAAGCACTTTGAGACATCTCGATGACATGATAAGGAGCCGTATCAAATGCAAAAGTTATTACTATCGTATTTGAGGATATGGACATGTAACCTTACCCAATGTACTCCTCTTTGTTCTCTTCAGTGACCAACAAATTGTTGCCGCCTGGTTTCAGTTCTTGAGTTCTAATTTCACCTAAAATGTCCTTGTCGACTGAGAAATACATTTCAAGGTCACACTCCTCCAGGTTGTTTTCCCTACAGACAAGAAGAGCATTTATGAGTGGAAGTGAGAACCAATTACCTGAAGCAAGAAGATTAAACACACAAACTGTGCTTTGTTATTTTATGAATCAAACAGTTTTGAGGTAAATTGTCAAATCGCAATAGACATTTAGAGGGTTTGTTATGCGTGTTTTGCCATGAAGTGCCAAGGCGCTATATCAAATGCAAGGATTATTATTAAATCAGTTTATTGGAAGCATTTGAAGGCACTTTACAATATCACGAATGATGGAAGTGGAGCGACTCTGCGCAAAAAGACTGCAAGCAATCTATGAAAACCTTATCCAGATGAGAGAGTTGTAAAACTCTGGATCGATAGATTCCAAGTCTTTGGTTTGAATGGGTTTGCTCAGCATTCGCTTGTAGAACGGCAGGGAGAATCCCGTGTCGATGAATTTCCCGTGGAATAATGCCTGCCAACAAAAAGGACATTTTTTTAAAAAAAGGGCACCTGAAAAACAACAACAACTTGCATTTACATAGCGCCCTCACGCAGAGTAGCACCCAGAGCGTTTGACAGTGGCAGAGCAAGACACCAGGATGGGGAAAGGTGACCATAGGCACAGTCGAAGAGGGAGGTTTTCAGGCGCAACCTGAAGATGGAGGAGGGGGTAAGACAGACGGATTGAGTAAGAGTGCTCCAGAGTTTCAGGGCGTAGTGGCTGTACACGTACACGCTGGCTGGTGCTCAAAACTGACACACCAACGCACTTCAGTATGCTAAACAGACTGATGGGCCCTCAGGCAGTTCACATTACTATGAATAATATTGACCATCATTAAAACACTCTGAAACTAGTGCTAGATTTCTTAGTCAGACAGCCTTCAGAGCAAGATGGTGCAATAATACAGCAACATAAGAATATGAAAAGAAATACTTGCAATTGCAAGCTGGTCTGCACCTGCAGCAATGTGCACTAATTTTGCATCGAAAACGTCTTTAAATCCAGGCGATATTTTTACATACTTTCCAATCACACGCTCTTAAATATGCATTTGGGTTTATTTGCCGAACATTAGAAATGTAAAACAAGTTTTTTTTCACGGGAAGGATTTTTTTTATATATACAGTCACTGCACTTTACCCACAAAACACAGTCACTGCACTTTACAGTATATCCTGTTAAGCACTTTGGGACGATCTCCCCATGTGAAAGGCACTGTATCAATTATAAGAGTCATTGTTATTCACTTGATTTCTAATTAATCTCATTTTGTGAAGCATTTAGAGACGTTTCTTTTATGTAAAAGGCACTGTATAAATGTAAGGTGTCGATCTGGAAGCAATAATTTTCCCTTCCTTACATAAACAAAACGGCAACACACAGATCCTTTCAATAATAATAATAATCTCTGAGTTTACCATGGCTATGAAGCGGCCGATGAACCGGAAATATTTCAGATGGTCTGGGTTGATGTAGGATGCTGGATTGATCTGCAAACAATAATTTTCCTTGCCAGCGTACTCAAAGAGGCAATACATGGGGTTCAGAACTTCGTGGGAAAGCAGAAAGAACCACTCTCTGTTCAGAAGAAACACACAATAAAATAGCAAGTCATAAGAGCCAATAATTTATTTGCCACTTGATAGAAAAACATCTGTAGTGAGGGACACAGATCTGTAGTTCGGTCAAGACTCTTTGGCCAACTGTGAGGCCAGAAGCAGTAATCATCCGGCTCCAACCATTTCTCAATGGGTGACTTCATCCATTGCTGAAGTAATAAAAGTTTTCCCTGGGAGTGAAACATCTGTTGAGTTTCGCCCACAAAATATACAGTCACTCCACTCTTACAGTGTGAAGCGCTTTGAGACATATCGAAGACGTGATAAGGCACTATATCAAATGCAAGGATGATAATTATTACATTTGCTGTGTCAAGAGGATTCAGGCAATGATACAGACTGAAATTCTTTAAGCACAGAAAGTCAATTTGCCCTATGCTCATCTGTGCCAAGGATTGGCAGCTTGGATTCATCTCCCAGGGCAAACAGCCCACTAGGTGAGGGTCTGGCTAAGATCGGGAACACGCCCTGCAAATATCAGAGGCTACCCCTCCACATCTTGGTGCTTTGCGCTATCCCTGAGCATCATTGTGATACGCATGATTCCTTGTGAACGCCCCAAGACCCTGTTCCGCCCCGCTATAAAAATACACGTTGTTGTTGTCATCGTTGTGTTACTCACCTTGCCACACCGCCGTAATCTAAACCTTCCTCTCCTGGGAAAATGATCCACAGTCGTCTCCGCAAATCTTGAGGGTTAAAGCTCATAATCTGAAAGACAAAGCGGGGAATAGTTCTGATAACAATTAACATCTGGGTTGACTTTGCTGATCTTTGCAGCTCAAAGCATAACAGTTGTCCCCAGCAACCCCCGGGTTAGGGATCAAATCAGCTAGGACGCCTGCTTTGGGTTTCTAACCAGCATCCCACTGTTTTGTGTGTACAACTGGGTTATGATAGGCTCAGGTTGCGATGCTCCTCTCAAATACTCTAAGGTCACTGATGAAAAATAACCACTTTGGCCAAGGTCAGGGACTTCAGATGAGAAGTGGATTGAGAGAGAGAAAAAAGAAAATCACAAAACATCAAAATGTACCTGCTGAAACGAGTCCTCAAACAAGGTTTTTCTCGTCACAGTTATCTTGATGTGCTGAGGTGCAGCCAGTTGCTAGAACACAAAATAACAACAACAAGATTACATTTGTATAGCGCCTTGCACGTCGGGAGGACATCCCAAGGCGCTGGACAGAGTACAGCATTTCAGACCCGAGCTGGGGTGGTGGAGGGGGCCGATGTCATGGTCGAAGAGGAGGGTCTTGAGGCGGGACTTAGAGGCTAAGGAGGGGGCGAGGCGGAGTGACTGGGGGATGGAATTCCAGAGGTTGGGGGCAGAGTGGCTGAAGGCTCTCCCGACAATAGTATAATAATGTGTATTATAGAAACTAGTCAGATGCAAATCATTCAAAAAAAATTGCATTTTGTTTAAAAAAGCTCATCAAACTCACCTGACACCAGAACCTGAAATAGGAAACTTTGGATCTGAAATCTCGCACGTACGCAATGTTTGGACCATTTGCTCTGAAAAACACACGGTTGGGGGAGAAGAGAAGAAAGCTGTATACACCAAAGAATTTTCTTATGTTCAACTTGCATTTCCTATCAGTTTACCTCCAAGCATTCTACAGCAGATGTAGCAGACGTTAACAGGCCAGATTGCACCCTGTTCTAACACTGGACTGACCTCTGTAGCACTGCTTATTGAGGGTACAGTTGGCACAGGATTTCTTTCTCTCACAATGGACTGAAGCTAAACAGAGCAAAGAAATCAGGTCTCAAAAGGTACAAGGATTCCTACGTAAAACCCACACTTACCTGTGCTCCACACAGGAAAAAATTCTCCATCACTGATTCTATCATTCCCATCTCAAAAGGACTACCAACTCAGGAGCAATGATCTGCTGGCTGCTTGTGGACCAGATTGGTGATAAGTTTTCAGTATAATTTAGCTACGGGTGGCAACAAATTTGCAGTCGCCACAACAAAACTGTCCCAAATTGCATTTAACTTAAAACCTTGTACAGCCAGACAAGAGGAGATTTCACCGTAGCACAATCCAGTGCAAGAGGTAACGGGGTAAAATCTAAGTCATCCAGTTTATTTTTAAAAATATATATTTATGATATATATATTCTTTTGAGACAGAAAATTAACTACAGTAATCTGATCAGCAAACTTTAAGACTTACAGAGCGGACTTTCCAGTGCGCGGGTCAATGTACGTTGTAGTCCTTCTGTTGTGATCCACAAAGTATGGAACACCATCAACTGTGAAGCGCATCTCCCACCCATCTGGCAAGGGCTTCTCATTCAGAATACTACCACAATGGAGCAAACATGTGTTACTGGTAACAGACAAGACAAGCATTGCTCCAATACAAACACTACCTTTCCGACCAGCCAGACTGAATCGTTAAGAGTCCTTTCCAGTACCGTACACTCCTACCAGTATATCCTGGCAGCGCATGTCTTAGAACAAAGTTACCACCGTGCCACAGATAAAGTGCTTAGCTGAATGCTTATTATAACTGGCAATTGATAATGACAGCTAATTCTGTACATCGGGGATTACACGTTACAGCAGACAATAACTTCACTGCGTAACTCACCCCACAGTCCTGGGATCCTCCCACTGAGTGGTACGTGTTAGATGGTTTACAAAATACAATCTCCCATTGCTGTCTGTTCGTTTTTCTACAGGAATGAAAAAGAAAGTCAAGAACAACTAATGGGTTTTTATGCTCCAAATATGAAAATAAGTAAATCTCTCCTTAATCCGTTTAAGTGACCAGAGGGAACCCGAAAAAATTAAAAGCACCTAAGATTAATATTGTCTGAGAAAGTCTAATTCAGCTGCACTTACCCCATCCTGTTTGCATTGGGCCGAGTGGGTCAAATTCAGGCTGCACTACCTGCTCGGGGTACTGCAATTGAGGGGAAGAAGTGAAAGCATCAGGAAGAGAACTCTCAGAGACCTGGTAAAGAAACAGGTGTAGTACAGGCAGCCGTGAAACACTTGCAACAAATGCTAGAAATGTAGAGTTTTGTAGCATAGTGCTCTTGCCTCGCCCGGGGCAGCTGTTAGCAGGTCGCTTTCCGGGGTAATAATCCCTCCCAAAAATATCATGACCAGTTACTCAATCCACACATGTTTGTGGGACATCGTTGTGCGCAATTAGCTGTCTGGTTTCACCTACAAAATATACACACTCCACTTTACAGTACATTCTGTGAAGCACTTTGAGATGTCTCAGCGACATGATAAGGTGCTATACCAAATGCAAAGATGATTATTATTATTATAGCACTAAAATATTTTGAACTGAAACGATCTATAAAGCAAGCTATTGGACCGGGACCCACGTCTGCAACAGGTGCCAAGATCATATCTATACGAATCCTCACACCAGAGTTCCATTTCAACCCTTTTAAAAGGAGGTAGGAGGAAGAAAAAACCTGCGGATATAAATGTTACACACCGAATATATATAGCGCTGGTTGAACTGCTGCATTGCTCCCTGAAGCTGGTTTCTCTGTGACTGCCACTGCTCAAAGTTCCTGACTGACTCCACTGTCGGTCGCTGCCATGTGGTTGTCCTTGTCATGTGGTCGACGTAGTAAATGCGGTTTCGCTCATCGACCCGCCTCTCCCAGCTACCGAGCAAAACAAAACAAACGTTGAGAGAGGGTTGCATTGGGCAGTGCCTGCCATTTACAGAACCTGCATTTTCCAGCACCTTGAGATGTTTCAATGACGTGATAAGGCGCTATATCAAATGCAAGGATTACTATCATCATCATTCTTATCCACATTTGCTGGCTTACCCCGGGGGTAATGGCTGTGGCCTTTCCCATGTTGTGCGTTTTTCAATGTGGTCTACAAAATACAGCCTGCCATGCTGATCCACTCGCTGCTCCCAGCTATAAAGGGGCAAAATAATAAATAAATGAGTCAGAAAATGTATTACGTGATCTTTAAATCCAGCGGACAGAAGCTGCACACCAACATGTTGTGTGCAATGTTCCCTTGCAGCATGAAACTATGATTGGAGTCTTGCCCTCCTGACTTATCACACACACACACACACACGAGCAGACATTTTCAATACGTTTGTTCCATGGAAGATCTTCTAGAACAGAAACATCAATGCCCGATCAGAGATTCTGACCCCTTTATTGCCCCAATCCAAAGAAAATGGAAGCAGCGGAACAAGTTTAAATATTAAGATACTCCAAATCGCTCACAAGGTAGGAGATATTACTTTGAAAAATGCTTGACTGAATGCACTTCCCATAAAAGCAGTCTTACCCTGGGGCCAGTGAACCTGTGTTGACTGAGCTCAACGGTCGATCATTAGGAGAAACTGGTGGTGGTGGTGGTGGTGGATGTGGAGAGCGGCCGCTTTCTGTGGCTCCAGGTACACTTGTAGAGGTAGCAGCCTCAGGCACAGTGTCAGCTGCAGGCGAGGTATTGTCAGACAACGGGACGTTCTCCAAGGGACCTGAAGAATGTCCGTTTGCACTGGCTGTCACTAACAGAGCAGAAAATTAGGAAAGAGTCCTATAGCTCATTGATCACTAGTATTGGATTCACCAATTTCATAGCAACTCTTATCTCTGGAGATATGACTAAACTCCATTACGCTACTTTCATTCCTGAATAGTTAATGATTGTAGAAAAGAGGACTGGACAGTGCTCTCAAAGGTAGGTTGAGGAGTTTTAGCTGGCTCCAGCAGTATCCAAACACACAACCTGGGGTCTCCAGGCCTTGGCTCTGAGCAACGTGGACCTAAAACTATCAGTAATTAGGGTGTGTTTCTCCAGGGAGACTATGTATTCCATATGTAGCAGGGCCATACATGTGAAACGGTTTGGTTTTTGTATGTGCCAGACACTGATTGATCAAACAAAAACAGTGGAACAGAGTGTTGAATAACCATGAAAAGCATGGTAAATTGTATATAAGAAAAAAGCGTAACTGTACAAATTGATTATATTGTGATGAATACTGTCAGGTTATCAAGGCAACCGTAAAACATAAATTTTGAAGACCTACACCTGCTCAAAACTCCCATCAAGTTTCAAAACATCACGTTGGGAATGATACACCATCTACAATAGATCAGGCCATGTCTTGGAGACTTACCCACAACGCTACCAGGTCTGGCTGGGGTTGCAGGCGGAGGTCGGGTGGGCCTGGGAGGTCTGGAAGGCTTTGATGTTTTGGGAGAAGGTGAAGGAGTAACTCTGCCATTCACAGTAAGTCCTTCACTCGTCCCCGCTTCTGATGAGCCTTGTGAGATGGCATCCCCATTCACACTAAACAGGAGAGAACCCACAAGTGGTGCGAGAATTCATTGGTCAAATTTATCAATGGAGAGAGAAATGGAAAGCAACAGCTGCCACCACCAATAAATACCTCAATAGGAATTATATCTAGAAATCCAGATGAGACAAAGGAAGCTATCAATTGTTATCCGATTTCAGGGCTTAGTAGGAACTCTTAAAAATCCTGAGTGGACCAGACCTTACCTTGATGGATTTAATACATGAACCTCACTGCTATTTCCATTAATTCCACTTTGTGAGCTGCCTGAAAGAGACATTAAGAATACAATGATAAGTTTGTAACAAAAGTTTGTCCCAGCGCCTTGGGACATCCTCCCGACGTGAAAGGCGCCATACAAATGTAATTTTGTATGGTAATATCACTCTGACAAGTATTTTTAAAATTGGTTATTATTTGAGAAATACCTTGTTAAAAACAATGTAATTCCAGACTGTTTCATATTGCAGGTCAGGTAACTGCTTAGTGAAATGCTGGAGCTTCATGTTTAGTTCGCAACATCCAATGAGATTTGCAATAATTTCACAGGATTTAATATCCTCTTTATGTACAGTCTAGAGAAAAGCCTGGTAATCAACTGCAAATTTCTTGATTATAAAAAATAACTACTTTGCACTTCAATTTTCCCCACCACCAAAAGAGCACGCTTCTTTAAACCACCTCAATAATATTGACCAAAACACTAGAGCCATTAAATCAAAAAAGCCTGCTCTACTGTTTAAGAAAAAGTCACAGAATCATAGAATATTACAGCACAGGAGGAGGCCATTCGGCCCATCGTTCCAGTACTGGCTCTTTGGAAGAGCTATCAGTCCCACTCTCCTGCTCTTTCCCCATATCCTTGCAAGTTTTTCCTTTTCAAGTACCTATCTAATTCCCTTTTGAAAGTTGTTTTGAATAGGTTTCCACCACCCTTTCAGGCAGTGCATTCCAAACCGCAACAACCCTCTGCAAAGACATTTCTCCTCATCTCAGATGGAGATAAGTATAGCACTTCTGTGACCTTTCTGAAATCAGACATGGTCCCAAATAGATATTACTCCAATTTGAGATGACCAAATAATTTGTAGAGTTGACCTTTGACTCGTAATTGGTTACACCCAATGGAAGTTAATTTACACCATGTATACCTAAAAGGAGAATGGGACCTCAATATTCTTACATACCTGCTGCTGCTGTATCCTCATTACATAGGACCTCTGGATCTACAGAAAGCCCGTCCAGCGACACTAAAAGCTCCCCAACAACTTCCTCAGAATCGCGGTCAGTAGCCAGTGATAATCTTATAATGACATCGTTGACTGAAAAATACACAGAGAAGAAACGTAGCAACACAGACCCAATACTCAAAATTGTAAAGCAGTTACAAAGTGCAATGCAAATACAATATTCTCTGTTCAGCAACGCTTTTTGATTTGGAGTAAAATACCCTAGATAGGGTTTCAGTAACTTCAATGACTTAAATGGAGTCCCGTAGCGGTTAGCTCACTCGCCTCGCAAGCGAGAAGACCCGGGTTCAATTCCAGGCAGCGCAAAACCTTAGGCAAGTTTTCTTACTCCACATGCCTCTGTTTACCTAGCAGTAAGTAGGAACCCAGTTGTTAGTTGATTGTTGGATCACTTCTTGGGGGTAGTAATTCCTCCCCCCACCCCTGTTAACGTGGTAAGAGTAGTGTTTATTGCATAAGATGAAACGTGAGGTTTAACAATCTGTAATCAAATTATACTACATATAACATCACAATAACAATACAACACATCTATATGATTAAAACATTTACCACACAGCATGCCCTCAGGGATTGCTCAGTATTCCAGACAAACAATACACCTCAAAATACAGAAAACGCAGAGATCAGCCCTTGGAAATCCCTCAGGGACAACTGATTCTCGCAATCTTAAGGCTGCCCAGTACTCCAGACTGACAGCCCGTGTCTGGGCCTCACTTCATACTCCAGATGAACGATACCCGAGACTACACTTAGACGAACCTCAGGGACAAGTGACTCTCGTAAAACCAATACTAAACAGGGACTGGCGTCTGGTAAACCCTCAGACCCAACCAGTCATACACAACAGTAGTACTGATGATACAGAGACGACAACACCCATCCAGGCATTGTTTCATACTCCAGACTAAACAGTAGACCTGGGATCACACCTTGACATACACTGGAGAGATCACAGAACTATCACACAGCATCACAGAGAGAGTGGCTCCTGTAACTCGACAGAAACAATCAGCTCTTAGCCCAGCACCTCACTTGTGCTGCCGACCACTACTCTTTCACTTTTAATGGTCGCTTTCTTACTGTGGAGAAAATTCCCTCACCCCTGTACGTATCCATAGATACAGTAGAATTGATATTGATTCCACTGGGAAGTGTGTTGAGCCTCTACACAACTCCAACTATTCCAAAGTTACATCTTTCTTTGATGTGTTTCTAATTCCAACTCCTCTTGTCACAGAGATAGCCCTCACCCTTCGCAGGCTGCTTTGCAGAGAGAGATCGGGACAACTTCTGGGCAGCCTTCCACAGCCTGCATGTTTCTCAGCCTTGAGATAGGCAGGTGTCTGAGGCTGCAGCATTTTCTTTCTGTGGTCCATTGTTCTTACATCTATGTTCAAGGACCCGATTGCTCATTAACTGAGAGGAGTGAACATCTTCCCAGGAAAATATGAAATGTAATCAGAAGCTAATCTCAGCTCATCCAGCAAAGCTACTTTTAACCGTTTAACTATCAAACCTTCTGGAACATTCGGTTGCTGTTTGAAATATACCAGTGTATCTGGAGGTGATAGTCAATATATTTCAACACCCCTCAATTCACGACTATTTGTGGGACACTTCTGGCTGCCACATTTCACCCACAAAATGCAGTCAATTCACTTTATAATATATTCCATGAAGTGCTTTGACATAAGCAACATAAGGCGCTATATCAAACGCAAAGATTATCATTTTCTGTTGCAGAGAGCACATTTGAAGACATTGCAATATCGCAAAGCTAATGCAAACGACAATCTGCCCAATTAGACTAGTTCAAGATATTTATAAGTGTGTGAAAAAGACTCTTCTATCGTGATGTTCCAATAATGGTGCTAATCTCCGGACAAAACCTATTTAAAGTTTTACTCGGTGGCCACCAAGAAATCTACTGAAACTTGACTTTGAAATCATACCGATAAAGATCTGAATGTGATTCAAGTGCGTGGGAAACGGGCTCAAAGCCAAGTGGATTGTAACGGTGTTTAGATATCGCCTCTGTGGCTGAACACGTGAAACCCAAGCTCGAGCAGAGAATCACGGGCTTGGGAGAAGCCTCTTTCATTGTTAACAGCACAAAGAACACAGAGGATAAACTCTGTCCCATAAGCTTGAATAGAGAGAGTGTATTCAATGAAGTAGTGTGAAAGACCTGAGAATGGTGAGTGAGTCAGAGCTTTCAAAATAAATTGAGAACTGGAAAATCTGCAGTGAGAGGAAACCACACCTACATAGATGCTGATGTTTTTTAAATCTGTAGACGTGACCTTAGTGTGTGTGTGTGTATGTATGTGTGTGTGTGTGTGTGTGTGTGTGTGTGTGTGTGTGTGTGTGTGTGTGTGTGTGTAGGTAGGTAGGCACGCATCTATTTATTTATAAAGAAAATACTGTGCAACCTTCACTTTGCGTAAGGCAGATTGCAAGTCTCATTAATACTGTGCCACTCCATGGGCATGGAGTGTGGCGCTGAAATTAACGTGTTTACATCTACCTTGGGTAGTGTCATACTCACAGAAAAAATTATGTTAAGATGCCCTTTGCCCTCAAAAAAGCGATTGACTTAACTTGTATCTCGCGATTTGTTAGGGCTGTTACACCTCTGCACTTCGCATTGGAATCCCGTACGCAACCTAGGGGTCAGGTTCGACTCCCAATTATCCTTCCTCCCCCACATCCGGTCCCTCACCAGCACCATTTTTTTCCACTTCCGACACATCGCCCATCTCCGCCAATATCCAACCCAAAAGCTAATTTCAGGGCTTAGCAGGAACTCTTAAAATTCCGAGTGGCCCAGACCTTACCTTGATGGATTTAATACAGGAACCTCACTGCTATTTCCATTAGTTCCACTTTGTGAGCTGCCCGAAAGAGACATTGGTCCATGCCTTTGTCACCTCTCAGCTGGACTATTCAAATGCCTTCCTCGCTGGTCTCCCCTCCACTAGCATTCATAAAATCCAGTTCATCCAGAACTCTGCCGCCTGCATTCTTACCCGCACCAAACTCCGCTCCCCGATCACCCCAGTCCTTGCCAGACTGCACTGGCTGCCTGTCCCAGAGAGGATCGACTTCAAGATCCTCACTCTTGTCTTCAAATCCCTCCACTCCTCTGCACTCCCCTACCTCTCTGACCTCCTCTCTCCTCACAACAGTGCCCGTTGCCTTCGCTCCACTAGGTCTGGCCTCCTCCTTGTCCCCCGAATCCTCTGCTCCACCATCAGCAGCTGTGCCTTCAGCCACTACACCCCGAGACTCTGGAACTCCCTTCCTCACTCCTGTCGCCATGCCCCCTCTCTTCCTATTTTTAGGTCTTGACTGAAGACCTTTCTTTTCGACCGCGCCTTTGGTCACCTTCTTCCCCCTCCCCCTGGCTCGGCCCCGGGATCCGTTACTGTGAAGCACTCTGAGACGCCGTCCAGCGTGGAGGGCGCTATATAAATCCAAGTTGTTGTTGTTGTTGAGTAAAATGTCAGCTTTACTAGTGCTACCTGTAAGATGCTGTTCAGAAATTCATTACATTTTAACAGTAGGCAGGATGAAACAGTGAGCAAGTTTCCTTGCTCCAAACGCCTCTGTTTACCTAGCAGTAAGTAGGAACCCGGATATTAGTCGATTGGGTGGGGGATCTCTTTCTGGGGATAATAATTGGGGGGAACTCTTTCGGGGGAAAAGGAGGAGGCCAGACCCGGTGGAGCGAAGGCAACGGGCACTGTTGCGAGGATAATAATCACTCAAAAAAAATTTGGGTCACTCAATCCATGACTGTTAGTGGAACACTGCTTTCGCAATTAATGCTGCGTTTCACCCACAAATATACACTCAATTCACTTTACAGTATCTTCTGTGATGCACTTTGAGACGCCTAGAAGACATGATAAGGCGCGATATCAAATGCAAGGATTATTATTATTATTTTCAATCAATTCCACCATCCTGGACTGCCTCAAAAATTCATCAATCTTAAAGGGTAGGGTGGTCCTAGCTGGACAAGCAGCAGGAAAGCTTGCCAGACAGCAATACTGCATGTGGTCTTAGTTGGTTAAAACTCCAGTAGCATCCCAAGCCTTGGCTTTTGCCAACCTGCACCTAATACTTTCTGGAATTAGGTAAGCAGGATGTATCTCTCCCGGGAGAGAGTGCGCATTCCATCCAACAATCTATCTCTGGATTCTCCATCTGTAGGTAGGGTGCATGGAATTCTCAGCTTGGTTTGTGTACTCTTCAATACGTAAATGGGTTTCCTCATGAGTCAGACCAAAAAAAACTGATTGTTACCCAGAGGTATCTCCAATCAGAACACAGATTACTGGTGTGGCTAGTCAAACAAGTTAGAATGTACACACACACAAACAAACAAAGGAACAACATACCAGATCTGAGAGTTAACACTAATTGTTTGAAATCGAAAGACCAAAAATGAAGAAAGGCAAACTCACATTTCATGTCGTTGGCCTTTAAGGTGCTGCAGACGTCCAAAGTGGCAAATCCTAACAGAACATCGGACTTCAGTGTCTGATGGCTCCACACTCGGAAGTTGATCTTGCTGAATGGCGTTACAATCCTGTGAAAGCAAAACCACGTTTAACATTTCAGGACATTCTTCTTCCCTTCACACCTCCCTCCATTTCATCTGAGTCCCGGCAGGACGCAGGATGAAACGTTGGGCAAGTTTCCTTACTCCAGGTGCCTCTGTTTACCCAGCAGTAAGTAGGAACCCGGTTGTTAAAGACGATTGGCAGATTGCCTTTCCGGGGGTAATAATTCCTTCAAAAGAAATAATAATTTGGTCACTTAATCCACGATTGTTTGTGGGGCAGTTGGTTGCTGCGTTTTGCCCACAAAACAGTCAATTCACTTTACAGTATATTCTGTGAATGCTTTGAGACATCTTGAAGACGTGAAAAGGCACCATATCAAATGCAAGAATTATTTTTCATAACCCATATATGTTATATCTCTGGATGTGAAACACAAAAATATTGCTCAAGGGGCCTGCAAACGTTTCTCAAATAGAGCACCCGGCTTTCAGCAGCCAAAAGGTTGGACCACCCTCCCTAAATAATGTGGTATGTAATCATGAATTGAATCAAACATGATGGAAAAAAATCTTAAGGATATTTATCAGAAAAACTGGCAGTGAATTGATTTCCTGTATTAAAGATATTGGAGTGGCTAAGCCATGCACACTCCCACCTCACCAAGCCAGTCAGGAACCTAGGCGTCTTGTTTGACCCTCAACTGTCCTTTCTCCCCCACATCCGTGCCATGACCCAATCTGCCTTCCCCAAGCTTCGCAACATCGCTCGGCTCCGGTACTGGCTCACCCCTCAGGCTGCCGAAACCCTCATACCAGCGTTCATCACATCTAGGCTTGAGTACGCCAACTCCTTGTTGGTCAGCCTTCTCAACTCTTTTCTTCACAAGCTGCAGATCTTTGTAGCTCAAGTCTTCTCCCGAACCAGGTTCCGTGACCCTATCAGCCCCATCCTCACCTGGCTCCCCATCCCTCAGAGGATAACAGTTCAAAATCCTCATCCTCACCTCCATGACCTTACCCCAACTACCTCTGTGACCTGCTAATCCCTTATCAACCTGCCGCTCCCTCTGCTCAGCAGGCTCCGACCTGCTCCATGTCCCCAGCCCGGCCTGCCCTACAATCCTGCCCAAGAAAGATTTTAGCTCAGTTAGATTCAAAATCCTAACCCTGCTACATCAACAATGGTCCAGAGACAAGATGATCTATATAGCACCATTAAACCTTCAAGTGGTAAGCAGGAATGCATAGTGCAGCAGCAAGCACTGCCTTTGGTGGGAGTTACAGGAAACTAAACTAGATTCCATAATTGAAAAAGGAGTTCCATGAAGTTACAAAAGTTATTATTCCACTAGTCTTCATCTTACTGACAAGGTGAGTAGCTTTTTCCATGTATGCAAAGAGAAACTGAGAAACTTATCCATATTTTTATTTGCAAATCTCAACAACTTGCATTTATTTATAAAGCGCTCTTCACAGAGTAATGTTGAAGTGCTTTGAGACGTCTAGAAGACATGAAAAGCGCTATGTCAAATGCAAGGATTATTATTATTGAGTAATGTTGAATGATTTAAAGAAACTGTGCACAACATCCCCCTTCTCAAGACCCCATTGAATGTTCAGCTACATTGACAGTGACAGCATATGTGTCAAACCCACAAACTTACACTGTGATGTGCTGTTTCCACTTTGGGTTGTGTGTGTTGGTAACCTTCTCTGTTTTCTTTGACTGGCCATCGACTGCCAACTCCACATAGGGACTGGGTCCAAACCAGTTCTTCCTATTTTCCCTGAGCTTCGCACAGATAACTGTTGGAAAAATTGACAACGGTGTTATGTTTAATATGTAGAGTCTATAATATCAGAATGCTGCACAGGAAATTGTTGTAAATTACATTAACTATTTAAAAACAGATTGCTTTTTCAGGGTAATAATTCCTTCAAAATAAATAAAAAATAATAGTAATTTGGTCACTTAATCTATGACTATTTGTGGGACTCTGCTGCATGCAATTGGCTGTCGTGTTTCACCCACAAAATATAGTCAATTTACTTTATATTCTGTGAAGTGCTATGAGACGTCTCGAAGACGTGATAATTTCCCACCAATGACCCTAAAGCGAAAAACTGATTCCTGGGGGATTGCTGGCCAGGCTACTGGGAGAAATTCACTTCTCTTTTGAAAAGTTGTGGAAATTTTAACATCTATTTGAACAGGTGGACAGAACGTCGGTTTATCGTCTCAGCTGATTGACAGCACCTCTGACAACGCTATACTCTCCCAGTACTGGACTGGAGTGTGAATGTAAAGTTCCAATATGAGGCTTGAATCTACAGTCCATATATGAGAGTGCTACTGCCCGAGTCAAGGTGATGACATAATATTTAAAGGCGACAATATGCATTGATTTTGTGCTGAACTGGCATGTTTAAAATTAGGATTTTAACAACCTGCTAATTAAACTTGGTTATTCCGCAGTGATTCACCACAGCATAAACCCGCAGTCCAACGTAGTGAAATATACAAACACCAACCAACCAACAAACCATAGTTGGTTGGGTCAAACCACGTCAACCAACATGTGGAACGGTTTGGACACACATTCTCATGTCAGGGTTCTGATGAATCAGAAACTGCTGGAAATTCACTTTTGTGGTTAGGGTAATTTCTGAATTCTGATGAGATTACTTCCGAAACAGAAAGTGCAGGCTGTGCAGAATAGACACATGCTCCTGTTCTGCTACAGCTTTATTGGTTACGTATGGGACAGTGATACCCAGAATAGATTCACTATCCACTTCAATTGTTCCAGAGGATAATGCTCTACATGTATACTGATACAAATCTACCAAGAGCTTCTATGAACCACCTGGAAATTATAACAGCCTATACCATAGGGCAAAACCAAGATTATAAGAAAATATTTCATCACCACCTCACAACGGCACATTGTGTGCATGATAAGTAGCCCCAATTCTCAACTATTACAAGTGGTCTCAATTTGCTGTTCCAAAGGGACAGAGATTTTATAAACAGCTGGTGTTCATCCCCCCTATTGCCTTTCTTCTGTAAAGTGTGCTGTTGAAGAGGGCAGTACCAGGCTCCTCAGACGCCTGAAATTCCACCTAATTTTAGTTAATAGTTACACCTTGCCTTAGACAGTTACCACAGTTCTTAAAAAGAACCGGCTGCAAACCAAAACAGAAATTAAGAATTTTCTGCAATCCTGCACAATCTTAAGTAAAGACAAAGTGACCTCAGGAACCAAACATGGTCCAACAGAAGGGATAGACATTCACTTGTCAAGGTTATCAGGAATATCATATCAAGAATGGTACTGAGGTGAACTACCCAGTGCTCATGTAACTGTGCTCAAACAGGAGACGGTTCGACCTGGAACAGTGGGGGCAAAGGAGAAAAAATTGAAAGGCCGGGTGGTCAGTTTAACTGTTGGAAAACCAAAAATTACTCTTTCAAAACCAACCTGTTATGCGAAGCTGTGACTTCATCGTGTGACTGCTTACTGACCCCAACTGTGGACCATTTGTGGCCATGGCTCAAGTGATTATGATGCCTGAAATATAACATAAACTAGGTCAAAAGTGTACACAAAACACAAAAAAGTTAGAAATATACAATTATGGCGATGCCTTAAGAGAAATCTGGTCACAATGAATTTTGCAATTATTTTACGTACTGAGTAGAGAATTCAACTCAGTGGAGCATCAGCGCATAATGTAACAGATTCCATGTCAATTTAAGTTTATGGCCAACATAATTGGTAGTCCAAGAATACAACCACCAATCTGTCAGCACTCTTACTGTCTCACCAGGATAATCATTGCCCAGAAGCCCAGGCTACAGCTAACCATATCCAGCCCCAACCTCAACCCCGCACCAGACCTGTATGTGTTAATGTTTTCTATAATAATCGTTCATTTAATTTACAGTAGTCCTCATAAGTTGGGACCGTACATATATGAATTATACAAAATATGAGTTATGTGGAACTTATTAATAGGAAATTCAACGGGACTTGGGCAGATGTACGACAGGCGATTATACGCTTTGTGAGTTTTATTGAAGTACTTTTGACATTGACGGGGCATTTCAACGCGTTTCACAGAATCCTCTGTAATTCATAAGATTCATAGAATGTTATGGTACCAGAAGGAGGCCATTCGGCCCATCGAGTCTGTGCGGCTCTTTGACAGAGCAAATCACTTTCACTAACCCCAATCACCAGCTTTCTCCCCATAACCCTGCAAACCCGTCTTCCCCAGATACCTATCCAGTTCTCTCTTAAAAGCTGTTATCGAATCGGACTTCACTGCCCTTTCGGGCGGATCATTCCAAATTCGAACAACTCGCTGAGTGAAAAAATTTCTTCTAACCTCCCCTCTGCTTCTTTTGGTAGATATCTTAAGACTGTAACCACGGATCACAGACACACCTACCAGCGGAAACAGCTTTTCCTATCTAGTCTGTCAAAACCTTTCATGATCTTGAAGACCTCTATCAGGTCCCCGCGTAACCTCCTCTGCTCTAATGGGAAAAGTCCATGCATAGTGACTACTTTGTTGGTGAACGTTGTACGTCAAATTAGATAAAACGGGTAAAAATTTTTTTACTCTTGAACATTTTCCAGCAAAGAAAACTTGGAGGTTGTGAAGTCTTGAAAGTGATGAGTCACTTTTTGTACTGTGTGTTACAGTAACACTGTGTGTTATTTACCCCATAGCATGTGAGGTGGGTGGAGAGGGAAGAAAGGGAAAGGCAAATTAGAGGTATTGTACTCCTCTCCCCCTCCCCAACTCCCCATTGAGCACCGCATAGTAAACGATCAGAGAGCAGTGCTTAGGGACATCACACAACGGGCTTACAGTTAAAGATTTTCAGGAACTGGGCATAACCACATATTATGTTCTCCTAAGCTGCTAGTGTTGCAGGATATTATAGAAATGAAAGGAATGAATACCTTTCCTCACTCAGGATATATACCATTCCTCCTTTGCTAAAATTACCGCAGGGAAATTCTGATTTAAAATTTAAGTTTTTTTAATTAAAAAAATCAACAATTTGGCATCCTTGTCAGCTAATTTGCACAATTAGTTCACACCAAATATTAAACTGGTTTGGGTTTGAATTATGAAATCATGCATATAAAACTGCCCAAGGGCACAGACACAGCTGAAACCAGGTGAACCATATGAATACCAACAGCTCAACAGGATGCTATGAAAGCTGCATCATACAACAGGCCTACAATTAAACATTTCCGGGAATGTTAACTCAGAAAGGAAGGAGGGAATTCTACACATTCTTCCCATCAATGTTTATTCTTGCTTCCTTCCAGGCCCCCGTCAATGAATCACAGAGCCCATTGCAATGGGCATAGTGCGGATTTCAGCAGAACAAGACAGAAATGTTATCTACAATTCGACCACAGCCACTATGGGAAAAAAATGTTGAATATCCTCAGAACAGATTGCACTCCCAAATGATTCAAGCGGTTTGGGAAAATGCAATTGCAGAGAAAAATTGGCCAATGTGGCTTTAAAGTCATAACGAGCTTGATAATGACTGCCTGTAAAAAGGCCTGAACTCTTATGAACCCAGTTATGACAGTGCTACTTGCTGCTGCTATCAAAGGAGCTCGCAAGACATTATTCTGAAATGTCATTAAAATTGTTAACTATTTACCTGAGCAACAGTGGTTATAACTTCCATCTGATTTGAGAACTTACTGCAATAACCATAGCACAATACATCTACATCAAGACAAGATGGGACAGTCTTAAAACTGTAAAAAAAAGAATTTCCAAACAAACACCAATTATTTCTTGCACAATCAGTAATCAACAACTAGACTTGGAGTTGAGGTAAAGATCAGCCATGATCTAACTGAATTACAAAACAGGCTCAAAGGGCTGAATGGCCTACTCTGTTCCTATGTTCCGAAATAATAATATAATAATAATCCTTGCTTTTGATATAGTGCTTTTTTCACGTCTTCTAGACGTCTCGAAGCGCTTAACAGAATACAATGTATATAAGTATATGTATATATACACACTGTATATAAAGATAACCAAAAAGGGTATTTAAAGCCAAGTCAGTGGGCAATTTAAGAAACTTCTCTCCAAGGGAAAGACAGGAGGGTTGACATACTGGAAGGGGGAGATCAAGCAGGCTGAAAGACCTTTTTAACCCAAACATCTCGTGATTGCCCACATTCTACCCATTTGTGAGATACTGCTGTGCGCAATTGGCTGCAGCATTTTACCAACACAATACAGTCGATTCGCTTTACAGTATATCCTGTGAAGTGCTTTGAGACCCTCAACAACAACAAAATGAAATTTATAGAGCGCCTTTCACGTCGGGAGGACGTCCCAAAACGCTGAACAGTCTGATGTCGGGGCCGGAGCTTGGGGGAGGGGTGGTGTAGGGATGATGGTGATGGAGAGAGGTGGGAGGGAGACCAAAGGCACGGTTGAAGAGAAGGGTCTTGAGGCCGGCCTTGAAGGAGGCGAGGGAGGAAGCGAGGCGAAGGGACCGTGGGATGGAGTTTGAGTGTGGGGGCAAAGAGGCTGAAAGCCCGGCCACTGATGGTAGGGCGGGTTGGGCGGGAGACATGGAGCAGCCCGGAGCCCGCTGAACGGAGGGAGCGGGCAGGTTGGTAGGGAATCAGCAGGTCAGAGAGGTAGGAGGGGGCAAGGCCATCAATGGCTTTAAAGGTGAGGACAAGGATCTTGAACTCAATCCTCTGGGGGATGGGGAGCCAGTGGAGTCGGGTGAGGGTGGGAGTGATGGGGTCACAGAGCCTGGTACGTGAGAGTACACGAGCTGCAGAGTTTGGGATGATCTGCAGCTTGTGAAGGGAAGAGTTGGGAAGGCCGATGAGAAGGGAGTTCCCGTAATCGAGCCTTGATGTGATGAATGCGTGGGTGAGGGTTTTGGCAGTCTGAGGCGTGAGGCAGTGCAGAGTCTGGCAATGTTGCCGAGGTGGTGGTAGTCATGGCGTGGATGTGGGGGAGAAAGGACAGTTCAGGGTCAAACAAGACACCCAGGTTCCTGACTGGCTTAGTGAGGTTGAGTGTGCAGCCGTGGAGGCTGATGCTGCCAGCGCCCGAGGTGCAGAGGCATTGGTGTGAGTCAATCAGGAGGGCCTCGGTCTTGTTGAAAGTTGAGTTGGAGAAAGTTGTCCCTCGTCCAGGACTTGATGTCGGACAGGCAGTCGGTCAGGACCTCAGTAGTCCTGGAGTTCAGGGTGGAGGCAGAGAGGTAGGGTTGGGTGTCATCCACATACATGTGGAAATTTACCCCATGTCTGCGGATGACGTCACCAAGGGGGGGCATGTGGAGGGTGAAAACATGATAAGGCGCTATATCAAATGCAAGGATTATTATTATTTGAGATCTGGTACAATAACAGAAACAGTTGTTTATTATAGCAACCGGTATTATTTTGCACATATCCTTTACGAGAAAGTTTTAAATTTTCCTTATTTGAATTTGGTATACTGTGGAACTGATGGGACACCAACGTACAAGGTCATTGATGCATTGGAGGGGATTCAGAAGAATTGAATAATAAATCTAAGATATAAAATTTTGGAAGATATCAAAGCAACGCTTTGAACCCGTTCCCAATTAAGTCGATCAAGAAGAGAGGCAAAGTAAATCAGACCGTTTAAAGGGATAATGTGGATGTAACCAGGTCACTTAAATTATAGAACTAAAGGGACTGGTACAAACTAATGAGCTTCATGCAGGTCAACAACAATTTCCCAGCAACATCCCTTTTTAATTAAATTTGCAAAACAACAAAACTGTTCCACATCACTACAATGTAATGTGTGAACAGCTAGAAAAATAATTTTGCGGTGCATATAGGCTTAGAAATGGAAAGGGAATTGAAGACTATTTCAGAATCTGCTATTTCCCTTTCAAATGTAGTATTAAAAGGTTAATTAGGTCTGTCCAAATTTTACAGACGCACTTGAATGTAATCCAATAATCCTCCCGTCCGGTTCACTTTGTGAACTCCATAAAATTGCTGACAAAGAGAGTGAATGGGATCAATTCAGCTTTCTGACTGCAAGGTCTAGATAACTACAGACTTACTGCAGGGTTTTTTTTGAAATAAAACATTAAAAACATCAGCAATTGTACCAAACATAAATAAACCATTTCTCAGTTTCTGAAACGCTAGAATACAATTGTCTGAAAACCCAGTACTAATGAACACAGTGGTCACAATTTCCCATTAATTGGTGTTCAAGTTAGAAATTAAAGACTGTTTCTGCATTACTGGACAAGGGAGACAGTTGGTTCATTCAGGCCCTAATCTATATTCTGTAATTTAAAGATAAAAATGTCGCTATTAGCTGAAGAGAAATTTCAAATTCTTCCAAACATTGTATTGTTTCATCTTACTTTTCTATACTCTTATCAGTACCATCACAGATCCCCCAAAAAACTGCATTTACATAGATAGCACGCTTCATGTAGGATAAAAAAGTGAGTTTCAATGATGGGGTTCGTCACCTGGCAAGGGAGAAGTAATAG